TCTTACGTATGTGATGTGTGTATGAGGCTGCTTTAATTTTACTAATTGTCTCATAATAATAATAATAATAATAATAAACTCATTAATATGTCTAAAAATTGACTTGATAATAGCACAGAGCTGAGGGTAATTGCCCATCAGTCTCCAGCTATTCATTAATATATCTAGGAATTGACTTGATAATAACGCAGAAGGAAGGTTACGAGGTAATGCTTATGTTAATATAAATTTATTATATACAATTTATTTGAATTATAAATTGTAGAAATCGTAGAATTGGAGAGGTAATTGTAGATAACTTACAAGCGTAGAAGAGTAAGAGGTAGATGATTGGAATACACAGGTCATCAAGAAGGTATGTTGTGTAAATTCTAATTTACAAATACATGAATTATTAATTCTAGATATATATGATATCACTTGATTTATTTGAAGTGATAAATGCATTATGAAGATTCCAATAATAAAAATGAGTATGCTTCCAAGTTCTCATGTATAAACGACCACTTGCATATATATGTCATTGAAGTTTAAAATAAGATTATTATAATTTTTTTAATATTTTTATAGTTAATAATAATTTGAAAAGAGCTCATTAAATTTAATATTGCCAACACATCCTGGTATGTTAGTAAGAGACAGATTCTTATGAAATTTTGTATATGGAAAATCAAGTATGAATTACTATATCGTGAAATATATTGAATATCAAAAAATTTGAAAAGATTAACTATAAAATGATATACAACTTATAATGACAAAAGGGTTCCTATGTATGACATTGTATTGTAGGTGGGACAGAAAGAACCCCAAAGACATAATACATGCATAGCAGGTGGGCCAAAAGAGACATCTAAAGAGGCAAAAGGGACATCTATGTTGTTAAAGGACGATAATGTCATATTTAAATGAGTTCCATTGAACATTTTTATAAAAGTTTAGCCTATCTTTAAAGAATAATATTGATATTCTATATAAACTTCAAATGAATGAAATGATGATTTTTAAAAGACAATTTATATTTTTTTGCAAGTATTTTTTAAGTTAATTCAATCATATTATTTTTTATAATCTAGCATTTAAATTTTATGTAAATTTCATTACTTATTGAGTCTCATAGCTCGCTAGTTATTTTCATATTGATTTTTGTTACAGGAAAAAGAAGGAAAAAAGTCGAAGCAGAATAAGTTCAAGCTATTTCATTTTATATTATTGTGTTTAGTTTAGTTTGTGGGTCTACAACTAAGGTATGTAGACAGTTCGGTGGTATACTATTTTGATTTTTATTAGTAACTCTTTAAGTATTTATTTGATGTAATTGAATTGATTAGATACTTCCGTTTTTGTAGCAAATGTAAATGTAAATGGATCATTTTATTCAACTATGAATTTGATGATGAATGATAAAAGTATAGTGAATGAATGTTATGTTCATTTATGTGTTACTCTATATTAATGTTAACGGGTATCGTGCGGTATTACAAAAGTGACACTCGGTGTTACTGTTAAGGGGTGTTGTGGGGTATTACATAATCCTATTTTTTTCTTTGATTAGAAGTTTGCTGCTATAGAAAAAAATGTTTGATTGCACGGCATAGGGGATTAGCTATGATTTTCCAATTCCCATGTAGCGACGTAAAATTCAGACAGGGCCAATTTCTCAAAATAAAGTATTCAATACAAAATCTTCATGTAACAGTTACAAATTTGATTGTGAAAAGTTTCTTGAATTAAAAATCATAGCCAAGAAGTGTGACGGTAACATATGAATTAAAGAGATGAATAAATGGTCTCAAATGTACCTGTAGTGGGTGGTAAGATTCAGGCTTCGTTTGGGACGGCTTTTTTATTGCTTTCTAAAACGGAGTTTTAGTTAAAAAATTTTAATTTTTATGCTAAAATTCCGTTTTAGAAAAAGCATTGAAAAAACCGTTCCAAACGAAGCCTTAGATTTTGCTATGGATATTTGAACAATCTAACACTCTTAATCATTGGCATATCTTATTATTTATTGTTTTTAAAGTTATACGACATGTTTTAGTGCATTTTATCATGAAATGAACAGCAACATATGCAAAGTATAGCCCTCAAATTAATAAGACTATTGCTCAATAAAATCTCATTAGATAACAAAATCATAACAGGTAGTGCTAGACCTAAAAAAGTTGGAGTAGCTCAAGTTGCAAATAAAATTAGAGAGAGTCGTCTTAGATTATTTGGTCACATAAAATAACAGCTTTTCGATGATCCAGTTAGGAGGGTAGATATATTAAATTTAACTTATGTTAAAAAAGGTATATATAGATCTAAAAAAATTTGGTTGAAAATATTAGAATTGACTTTTTTTTTACTAACTTTAAATAAAAATTTGAGTCTTATAAACGAAAAACTATTCTGTGCGGACACATGACAGTACAGAGACCTATCAGAACACGTCAAATCACATGTTACATAATTGTATCGAACTAAAATAATTACATGAAACATTCTGATTGGTCTGCAAAAGTCGTCCGATGTCTGCACAAAATAATTTTTCATTAAAAAGACAATAGAGATAAAAAGATTCATATAATTGATCTCACGTAATGGGATAAAAGCTTGATGTTATTATTATAGTAAACAAAATCATAATTTGACCGACTTTCAATGAAGGAGAAGGTTTTGCATTTTCCTAATACTATTACCATATATTTGTACATATCATCTCTAATGTTTGAATTTAAAATTTTCTTCTTTAACAAGTTGAACTTTTACAATATTCATTTATCTTTAAAAAAAAAAATTAAATTAAAATTTCCCAATTTTTTTTTTAAATATTTCCCAACAAAAAAAAACATATAGACATACTAAGGACTTATACTATCTTTCTAAATTAGTGAAGTTTCAATCATCAGAACTTTTTATCAATAGTGGCACATTTAGGGTGTAAACAAGTCTAATCTGACTCATGATCCAACTCATTTATTATGAAAGAAAAAAAATGATTAATCATAATAATAAATGATAAAAAGAATAAAAAATTGCTTTAAAAACTAATAAAGAATTACTTAATATAAATAACGAATATAATTTTTAAATATTTTTTACTTAAATTCATGAATTCTAATATATTTTAAATATTTTTTACTCACACTCGGTGTTACTGTTAAGGGGTGTTGTGGGGTATTACATAATCCTATTTTTTTCTTTGATTAGAAGTTTGCTGCTATAGAAAAAAATGTTTGATTGCACGGCATAGGGGATTAGCTATGATTTTCCAATTCCCATGTAGCGACGTAAAATTCAGACAGGGTAATTTCTCAAAATAAAGTATTCAATACAAAATCTTCATGTAACCGTTACAAATTTTGACTGAAAAGTTTCTTGAATTAAAAATCATAGCTAAGAGTGTGACGGTAATATATGAAATAAAAAGGTGGATAAATGGTCTCAACTGTAGCTGTAGTGGGTGGTAAGATTCAGATTTTTGCTATGGATATTTGAACAATCGAACACTCTTAAGCATCGGCATATCTTATTATTTATTTTTTAAAACTTATAAGACATGTTTTAGTGCATTTTATCATGATATGGACAGCAACATGGGTAAAGTATAGCCCTCAAATTAATAAGACTATTGTTCAATAAAATCTCATTAGATAACAAAATCATAACAGGCAGAGCTAGACCTAAAGAAGTTGTAGTAGCTCCAGTTACAAATAAGATTAGAGAGAGTCGTCTTAGATTATTTAGTCATATAAAACAACAGCCTTCTGATGTCCGATTATGAAAATAGATATATTAAATTTGACGTATGTTAAAGGTATATATAGATCTAAAAAGATTTTGTTAGAAAATATTAGAAATGATTTTTTTTTATTAAATTTAAATAGCATTTTGACTCTTAAAAAGGAGCAAGTATTCTGTGCATACACAGGACAGTCCGGAGACCAATCAGAACGTGTCACGTCACCTGATACAAAACGGTATCGAGCAAAAAAAAACTGACTCTTTCTGATTGATCTCTGGACGTCATCCCTTGTCTGCACAATCATTTTTTATTTAAAAGGCACAATAGAAAAAAAAAGATTCATATAATCGATCCCACACAATAGAATAAAAGCTTGTTGTTGTTATTATAATTAACAAAATCATAATTTGACTGACTTTCAATGAAGGAGAAGGTTTTGCATTTACCTAATACTATTAACATATATTTGTACATATCATCTCTAATGTTTGAATTTAAAATTTTCTTCTTTAACAAGTTGAACTTTTACAATATTCCTTTATCTTTTCACGATTGACATAGCCAACATTCAAATCGGTGTGTTGCAGTCCCCCATGTTCGAGCCGGCTAAATGCAGAAGCTTGACTCATTTACAGCCTTAATACCACCACCCTCTTCCATTCCTCAGGTGCTCTGAACACATACTTCCTACATAAATGACTCGCAAAAAAAAGACTAATCAGTGCTGCTTAATCACACATCATGCACAAGCATTTGTTTTATCAACTTTAAAGGGAGATTATTCTTATACAGCTCTTGCCAGTTGAAAGAATTCTTAGAAGCTGCATAAAATAATAGAATACAAGAAGCCATTACTTCAGTTTGTAGCCAAGACTAGTTAAGAATGGTAAAAAAAATGCTTCAGCATTGATATACAGTAAAGATCCAAGCCATCTCATTGTCATAAACTGTGCTTTGATCTACCGAGTGTTTAACTCGTAGTTAAGACGATACTCAAAAGGTAAACAATCACCAATTTAAGCACTAATAAGGGACAAGCAACTAAGATTTCACTTGGGACAACAAAACTGTTTTCTAAAGCAACTTCTTAATATAAAAATTTCTTAAACTAAAAATTTTCGTACTAAAATGCTACTTTAAAAGACAATAAAAAATTTGCTTCAAACGAAGTCTAAAGCTTTGTTTGGGACGGTTTTTTTACTGTTACTTAAAGCAACATTTTAGTATAGGAAGTACTAAGAAAGTCATCCCAAACGAAACCTAAATAAAGTCAAAAAATCCAAATTCTATGTTGCATTCAAAGAATATAAAGTAGTTTCTTGAGCCAGCAAGTTCACAGAAAAAATCATTCTCCTCCCAAAAAAAATGAAAAGAAATCAAGCCACATATTTCAAATGCTCCACCTCAATATTCCCTTTACAAACAATTTGATAGAAGGAACTGGCTTACCAGTATGCAACTAGATGAATATACCATCATTGAAGTTACCAAGCCTGCACTGAGAAAAGGCTCAACAGATGCGCTTCAGATCAAATCTGACAATTCTAGCCAGTCTGAAAACAGGAGAATCACTCAAGAAGCCATTACCACTTTCACAGTGTGTGACTTTATGATAAGCAGAAAAGAGTAGATCTGTTCCTAAATTGTTGGTTTGACGACCACACAATTTTCTCTGCAGTGAATGACTTCCTTGTCAATGCTAGGTTCTTTCCGGTTCCCTCTTTGAAGGGCTGACCAATACATTACGTACCTGATTTCTACATAGTGAAGGAAAATAGACAGAGTTGAATGATGAACACCATATGAAGCAAATAAAAATCACAAGCAGATTGATTCGTAAATATTGGAAAATCCTTTACCCATACAAGCATTTGAGGCACTAAGGATATGCAGAAACATACAAATACATGGTTAAGTAGAAAATGATAGCAAATGTTTTCCATTTATCCAGCGAACTATTATCATTAGGACCTTTCTTCTTTGTTAATCTAGCATTATACTTTTTCTTAACTTAAGGCATCAAACCTAAAGAAATTTCCAACAGGTACTTGTTTCATAGAGAGTTCACAATACATTTTTACAGGACAATCTTTTGGTCGTATAGTAAACTCATTATGCAACCCGAGACTTCGAGAATGGCTAACGCAAGAATGAGTTTTTACAAGATAATAGACAAATGCTGTACTAGTACTTGACAGCAATATGTGAAATCGAAAAGATTGGTTCAACCGAACCTGTCCATCATAAACAGCGCAGGCCAACGGGCGATCATGGGAAAGAGCAGATAAGCGAGCCGCACGAGCGGTCAGGTGGACAAGCAACTAAACAGAGCCGAGCAATGCGATCATACGCGAAAATACACGAGTCCTTGCAAAGGATAAGTCCAATTCACCATCCAATCGCACGAATGAGATAAGTCTAGAGCAGAACCAAAGCAAGCAGGAGACGATTTCGATTGGGGCCTGCGTGAGGAACAATCAATTGACGTAATGTGTGTGTGTCTGAAAACTATTTATACAGATTGATATGTATATGTAAAAAGAAATGAAATAAATAAAATGAATAATAACATATAAACGAAAAGAATAAAATAAAAAGGCATATGCATGCAAATATGTGTGTGTGAAAACTACTTGTACGGATTGATATGTATATATAAAAGGGAAAAAATAAATAAAATGAATCATAACATATAAACGAAAAGAATAAAAGGAAAAGATATATGCATTCACATACAAGAGTTTATACTTTATGATATTAGCTGGGAATACAACATACTCGTGCACATAAAATTAAGATAAAAATGGTTGTGATTTCATTTGTACAAAATTTTAAACGGTTGTTTAAGAGAATAAAATTTATAAAAAATAGTTTTTTTTATCTACATTTGTATTAAATATTTATTTAGATGTTAAATAAAAAGTTTGATAAATAAGCATGATTACTTGACTACTTATATGCATGTTTAATTGTCATACTAAAAGTGTAATAATCCACTAAATTTGTTATAAAAAAACTCAAATGGTTAAATTGACATTTTTAGGTAAATTTTATGGGGATTAAATAGCTGCTAGAGAAGGTTTCATGTACAAAAGAAGAGGTTCAACCAAAAATATGTAAAATTATTTTATAATATATTTTGATTGGTATAAAAAAAAACATTTGTTTTAGTGACTCTCAAGTTACATTTGGATATTAATCTATCAAATAATTATTGACATTGAAAGTAATTTTCATTTGATAGTCTATTCCTATCTCATTAACTTGAGCTTTCTGATAAATTCATGGAAAAAGTGGCATCAGAGCCCAGATGAGATATAAATCATAGAAAAGGAGCCATTAAAATTATTATTAAATTTAAGAAAGTTGACATGATGTAATTATAAAATTTAATTAGATGTTTTACTTTACTTCAGAACAGGATACAAGATCTCAGCCTTCAAGAAGTAATAGAAGTAATATCTCGATGGATAAATACTTAAAATTATTTCAAGATATGTGATCGCCGTTATTTAAAGAAATAAAGAGATCAATAAATAAAGAAAATTGGCTATTATTAATTGAGAAGATATTAGATGGTATGTTTTTTCCTAAAAGAGAAATTTTATTGGCAATATTTGGTACTTGATAAAGAGGCTGAAAGATGGAAGAGGGGGGTGGCATCAGGACAAGTTTGAAGGGATACTATCCAAATCAAATGGAAGAACTTATACAAGCGTTTAGAGATTAGTTCGTGCCTTTTTCTACAAGAAGACAAATGTAATATAAGTTCTTAAGGTTAATTCAAAGAAATAGAGTAGTAATGCAATATAATGATGAATTTACTACTTTATCAAGATATGCTCCTCAATTAGTTCATACTGCAGAAAAGAAATGTATAGGCTCCGAAAATTCGGCCCCGGCCTCCGCCCAACTGTTGCTTTTCTTTTTGGAGGGAGTTTTAACGGATTAAGTTCCGGGGTAAATTTTGGAAAGGCAGATGGGTTTGTAGATAAGACACTACCCAGAGATTTCGCCCTCATTTTGCGAGGACTTTATAATCTGAGTTCTAGTTTCCTATAGGTTCAAGCCCCTATAGTAAATTACCCCTCCCGATAATGAGAAAGAACTTTCGATTAAGGCTAGTCGTCGATCAGATACGTAGTATCTGGCATATAGTAGCAGCATGGGTTTGGATATTGGAAGGGTATTGGGGGAATTGACATTTAAAATAAAAAAATTTCACCATCTTGCATTTAAAGCAGATGGTGGGGGGATGGATGATGGACCCGATCAAGATCCCATGGTTCTATCGTCCTGGGCCATCGTGGTCCCTGGTCTACTTAGTCAGACGAGGTAGTCGACCCAACCTGATAGAAGGATCTTTATCAGCAGCCATGGGTTGCTTCGTCCAAGGGGACCTTATAGACCTGGGGTGAATGTTTGTCTAAGGGGACAAATTTGAATCTACCTTAGCTAACAGAGGGCTTTGTGTCCTATCAATCATATCATATTGATTCATATCTCAAGTATTTGATGTCACTAAGGAACACATTAGCTCTGGCCATAACCGGTATTTAGTGGTGCCATTTGGCGGCAAAACCACTCGGTTCAGAGGGCCCCGGGTTATAACTGTTTATCCTGCGGTGCCATTTGGAGGCAAAATTGCTGGTCAGAGGACACGTACCACGTTCTTATTGGCAAGAGATTGTTTGGGAATGAATCCTAGTGATATTTTCGACCAGACATTTAGCTCTATGTGAGCTGAAGTTATATTTCAATTTATTCACCCTAACAAACTGTTGCGGAGGGTGGATGGATTTTGATTTAAGTGTTTGATAGTGTTGTTTCAATTTTAAATATTTGGGTTTTTGGAGATTTTTTAATGACATTTTTGGAGTTTTGAAATTTGAATAGACTTTTGGGAGGCATGTGAAAGTATTTTGAATCACCCCTCTGGTTGAAATCTACGTTCAACACGGCCATCATCGGGGTGTTTGGGGTCGTTTTTATTTATGGCTTGAATCTTGTCGACCCTATTAACCTGCCGATAAGGGATCAGGTTTTGTGCCTTAATTAGTGAATTCTCATTGTTATAGTCCTTGAAGGCCTAATATGAATGTATTAAAACAAAAGTACCGGTCACCACAACCGTATATTTATTTAATGGTTTAAACCCTGTTGACTCGTATTGATCTGCATAAGAGGATCAAGTTAGAACTTGAATTCACTTATTAACCCACGCAACATCCCTAGACGTCACGTGTGTACCCATGACACGCTCGTCGGGGCCCATGAGGGTGCTTGATTTTGTCGATAAATCTTTCTTATAAAGGGCCTTGAAGGCCTAATATGAATGTATAAAATAAATATCTCCGTCAACCTCATGACCGCATATTTATTTAATAGTTTGAATCATATCGAGATAGATCGGGTTCGAACTTACATTCATCATTTGACCCGCGCAGCATCCCTGAGCATCATGTATGTTTCAATAACACGCTTGACGAAGCCCATGCTGGTGTTTGGGGGCATTTTGTAATTATTTATTGAACCTTGTCGACTCCTATCTACCTACTTAGGATGATCAGGTTCAAATTTATTGACTCACACAACATCCCTAAACATCACACTCGTCGGGGCCTATGCGGGTTAATAATTATATATGTGATTGAATTTTACCCATTGTGTACCTATGTGCATACAAACTATGATACATGTGTGGGAGTATTTTAAAAATATTCAATTTCAATCAATTTTATGGGAAACTGTCATTTGAATGCAGCATTTGATTTGAGGGCTTCTGCACGCCTTCTGTCCGCTTGTATGAGTGACGCGGATCCGATGGCGTGGTATTATAGTCTTGTGGATTTAAATTAAGCATTGATCTTTAACAGCATATTTGTCAAACATGAATCATTAACTTTAATGGACTTGATGTAGTGTGTGCTAATATTCACTTGAATACAACTAGACGTATGATAGGAAATACTTGATTTCAAGTAGTTCCTAACCAAAACTGAAGCCGAACAAGGAGAAAACTGCTGTCTCCAACAGTGGACAGCAACTATGCGAAGGAAAAACAGTGAATATTGCGAGAATATTGAGAGCGACGCAAGCAAAGACTTGTATTTTTACTAGTAGACGAAACAAATAGCAAAGATACAATTTGTTCTTCAATTCGAGAGGAAGAATGTACTCTCCAAAGTCTCCGGCGAAGCCAAGAGCCC